GAAAAAAAATTATCTATTTAAGTAATAAAAAAAGAAGAAGAAGAGAAAAGAGACCAATTTATTCACTATCATTCAACTTCACTTGACATTCGTGATTTACGTCGTCCAGTCGACTACTCTAGTGTTCGTCAGAGAGAAAATAATGTGATCTAAAGCTCTTTTTTTTTTTTAACTGCATTCGAGAGTCATTATTTTGTTCCTAGTGCAAGTAATTGTGTATTTGCGTGTGTACTCCTACCCTAAGAAGTAAATTTCATCCCGACATGCGTACCATAACCATAATTGTTTTTTTTTTTTTTTTTAAACAAGAAAACAACTAGAAAAATGAAAAGGATCAGGAAAAATATGAAACGCGGCAAAGTCCAAGAAGGAGGAATGAAGTGATGGATCATGCTTTGTTTTTGGAAGAATATGTCGTCGACTTATCATGGTCGATCGTTTCAGCCCGCAGAAAGCTACTAATAAAAGTAGTTCCTTGTACGTATGGTATATCATACAGGATTTGATTGTATCAAACTTCAGTCAGGCAGCGAACTGCGCATGTAATTTCCTCAAAATGCTTTCGAAAGCACATTGCCCAGCTTTGATTATATCGTCATTACCGTGTGGTTCATTGATTGGTCATATATAATCATTACTATATTCTTGTTAACAATTAGGATTAGCTGTCCTGCCCCGACAATATGCATGGTCTAATTAACTAGCCAGCAGCCTCTTCATGGTCTAATATGCATGTTCATAATCTTATTCATGTACTTTGAATAGGTCCGGTCTTCGTCCAGATCTTTGCATGGCCTCCATGAGAGTTTACTGTTTATCTAGGAGGCAGTAAATTCTATTTTTACATATGTACACAACTAAAATTTTTTTTTTTTTTTTTTTTGGGTTTTGAGATCTTTTTTCAGCGGGATAGGAGACGACCATGCAGATGCAGTATGTGTGCTTTATTGGAGTTTCAAATTTTTAACATGTTGTTCGAAAATTCGTGCCATTTTATACTTCTTTTATTTTCGGAATTAAAAGAAAAAGAAGATTTCACAGTTTCTATGCCAAAGACGGGGGGACTCGCCGTCTATCACTACTGCATGCTATCCATCAGCCAAAAAAAAATTGAGAAAGAAGAATATACCCTGAAATGAATTTTAATTTTTAAAGGCCGAGATGGCAGATGAAGGAGTAAAAGTTAGTGCCCACGACAACCATAAAGGTAAAGAAAGGGCGCAAAGAGACTTGGGGAATAGAAAAATCAAAGCAGAAGCTTGGAGATGATAGCTTTCACAAGTGGTGGATCGGTTAGATACACCGATTATGAAATTTCTTCACTCTTTCTTCGAACAAGATGCGGTGATTATGACGGCAAGACAATACATCTATCTAATATTGTTGGTTCACTAGCGTATTCACACGCCTAACAGCCAAGAGGTTTTGCCTGCTCATGATATATAAATATATATATATATTACAACCAGAGGTCCAGAACTAAATGCTATTCTACTTTACTTTGTAGGTGTATATTTTAATGAATTAATTATTTCTGTACTGTCAGTATATACATAAACGGATGTCACGGCATCTGAATTTGCATTTGAACATCAGATTTTACATTTCTAGAAATCATTTTGTACTCATGTTAAAATTAGCTATTAATAAAACGGTGTAACAGACTAATCAACTAAAACCAAAAAAAAAAAAATAGAGGAAAAAGGGAAGAATATATAGAATAGAAAAAACTTTTTATTTTCTGGATAGGTGTGGTCCAGTCACAATGGAAGAGGTACAAATGAAAGCGGCCGTTGATTACCTTCCTTGGAAGAGACATGGTAATAATGGTGGATGATCAACTGAAGCAATGTCAGAAGGAGAATGGATTTGATATGCGCAAAAGCAACCGACGGGACAGAGAAATTGACGAACCACCGCAATAATTAACCGAGAATGCTTTAAAAAAAAAAAAAAAAAAAAACAAAAATCACGCCTTTACAATGTAGGAGCTAGTTTCAGTATGAGATCACGTTGTAATGGAAAACGCTTTCTGTATGGAGCCTTTCTAGTGGGATCCCAAGAATCAGATTGGGCCACCGTCATCGCAATTACTGCTGAATGAATTCCTGCAGGTGTCTTCTACCGTGTTACTAGACTGTGAAGTCGAGACTGGTCACCTCTTTTGTTGCCAATAAAAGGGGCCCTGTACCTGTAACTTCCTGAGCCGCGGAATTTTAGCTTTCATACAATGATGTTGGATGGATAACGTTTTCTGAATTCTGACCCTTTCAATGGAGTTGAGTACATGATAAAGTATGGTGTCGCATTCAAGCTTGTTTCTGTCATACAGTTCCAGGGCCCAAGTCAAGAAGCCATCCTTTCGTTTTCTTCTCACTCGTCGACAATCACAAAGTACTTATCTGCTACCCCATGTCTGATCGTGACCGGGCACAAATGTTTGGCACTTTCCCAGAGATTCTGGCACGACACGGTGTGTGATAGTAATTCATAATTATCAACTTTGAGTAATCATATCCTGCTTAAGAGATTAAGCTTGAGTAATCATATGTGCAAGATACTTGGAAGTAGGATAATTATCGATGTTTATAGAACACTAACTCTCAAAGGCTAATTTATGCACTCTCAGTTCGATAATCTCTTTGACTGCTAGCAGTTCAACAACTAAAGACTATGAAGTCTAGAAGTGCGAACTGATCAACTGTTGAACTCATGCACTGACCCAGTCATGAAAGCCATAAGATGGCTCTCTTTGATTGTTACCGCCTATTCACAAGATACAATGGTCTCGTTTGGATTGTTAATTTTTTGGATTTTTTGTAAAAAAAAAAAAATACACTGTAACAATTTGATTTATGTGCGATGAAAATGTAATAATTGAAAACGTAGAAATTTTTTTTTTTTAAAAAAAAAAAAAAAAAACTCCAATCCAATCCATGTCTGGCTTGGTCATGAGTCGTGACCAACATGAAGGCCTAAATCCATGCAACATTTTCTTGCGGGGCATGAGTACCATTTTATCCAGCTTAACCTCAAACACTAACAAACACTAAATGCCAAAAATTAGCGTAGTTTGTTGAATTGGAATGGCCGCTAAGGCGCTAGCTCACTTGCCTTAACAAATGCACATACCAAATTTCTCATGCACTACCACTAGAGTTTACCCAAACAGGTCTGTGGTCAAAATCGAGGGCCAGGCAAGGCCCAGGCCCAGAGGTGCTTTTGCCGTCTTCTGAAGCTGAAGATGTGTCATGGAGCTTTCACAGCTTTTTGGCTGGTCATCCTTGACGTGGATCGAAATACAATGTTTATGCTACCAAACTTAGGTGCAAGAAAAGTGAAAATGTCGAAAGAAATTAGGTCTGGGCCGGAACTTTAGCTTTAACACGCATGCTGCGGGAAGATTACCTGCTTGAGTTGCCAATGTGGAAATATAGTTGGACTTTTCAGGTAGGCCCACAAATGGCGAGGGTGTCAATCTTGAAAATTGTTATTAAGAATGATATTATTAGTTATAAGTATTATATAATGTATATGAATATATATGATATAATTAATATTATCACTTATACTAATAATTTTCTCTAATTTGGAAACCTACACTATAATTTCCTGTGATTTTGACTAAATTGAAAATTGGACAGAAAGTATCAAATCTAACGGTTGTGTATGAAATGTCAATATTACCCCTATTATACGTGAGATGCTTTCCATTCAATTTTCAATTTAGTCGAAACCGTAGGGAGTCATAATGTAACTTTTTTAAACCAAAGGAAGTTAAATTGAACATCCAACAAACCATACGAAGTTCATTTTTATAGGGGCAATATTGATATTTCACGTAACCATTAGATTGGATGTTTTCCTTCTAATTTTCAATTTAGTTAAAACTATAGGGAGTTATAGTGTATGTTTTGAACCCAGAGAGAGTTAAATTGAACATTTATTAAACCACAAGGAGTTTTTTCGTATTTTACCCTTATACTTAATACAATAACATTTTTATAAACCCTTACGGGTGCCCTATCGGGAATGGGGGCGGGGTCAGATGAGAGGTCCCTGCCCCTCCCTGCCCCATTGCCATTCATAAGTGGGATTGAAGAAAGTAACTGACTAACTCAAAAAGAGGAGTTTGAAATCGGATTCTTTTGTTCCTTTTTTATGCATCTCTGATATAAATTATCAATATTCCGATTACAGAAATTCGAGGAATTCATTTCCATTAACTTGTAACTAATTTTTAAGGTATCCTTCTTTTTTCACAAATAAAAGAGAAGTCAAGAGGTATAGCGATTAAGATTAAGATTCCACAAATTATAAGTGTTGGATTCAAATTATTTTTCTCTATTTTTGTTTTTAAATTTCATAATTTCTTTATTAAAAAATTTAAAAATGAAAAACAAACAAACAAAAAAAGAATGCCATGATGGTGATTTTGTTTTGTTTTTTATTTTTATTTTCTAGGCAAGAACTGAACCAGTTGGTTAATCTAATGTAGCCTGATCATTAGAGTTGTAATCGAACCAAGCTGCTCGCGAGGTCAAAAACTTAACTCAAACTCGGGTTGACCCAGTTCGAATATCCAAAAGCAATGCTCGAAAGCTCATTGAGTCTTATCGAGTTTTTAAATTTAATTCTTTAATATATTACTATTATAAAATTACTCTTATATCCAAAAGAATTGTTAAATTTACTAAATATTTTAGGTGGTATAAAAAATTTTAAAGGTCAATAATGTCTTTTCGCTCAAAAGTTGTTTAAAAAATGAAATTTTTTAACTCGAGTTCGATAAGGCTCGCATTGACTCAAACCCATGCAAATTAAGCTCGAATTTTGTGAGCAAACATCGAACTCAAGCTCGAGCTCGAACGCGAGCTCCAATAATACTACTTGCTCGAGCTCGAACATTCTTCTTGCACGCCGAGTCGAGTTTGAGTATCGATTTGATTATATCCCTACTGATAATGATGAGAAGTTCAAGAACGAGATCCACGATGCAATGATTCAACACTGACAAGTATTAAGTGGTTCACATAAGTATGGGCAGACATGTACAAACAGAAAGCTTGGCAACCTTTTGGACTTTGAAGGAAAGAGGAGAATCCAGCCACATGTCCCTCAACATAACTAGCCCAACCCACTCTTTGACATATGAGTACTTGAACATGGTCACCGTGCCTAAAACTGGACAGTTGGAGCCTTCCAACAGTTACAAGTTACAAGCACTGACCACAGTAATAAAGTCGCCAAACAAGTACATTGGTGGAAGAGAAGGAACCAGAGCAATCTTCCGTCACTCCGTGGGAGGAACATGCGTAAACAGGACTGTAATACTCAATAGTGAACCTCACAGGGTAGAAGAACTGCGGATCCAGTTGATGACTGTTTTGTACGTGAGATACTTGGTCCGCGTGCATCAGCCACGAGGCCGTGCAATTAGAATAGTAAACCTCAGATGAGTAGTCCAAACTCATGATTTCCACTTAAAAGAAGATGAACCATGTTTCTGAAAGCATATTTGAGTGTCTTTGTACTGTTTCCTAAATTGTGGTTACAGATTCTTGGGTGCCAATAAACTTGAATCCTCCAGCGGACACAGCACTCAGATGTATAACTGGAAGTTTATGACGGAAGACAACATCAGGAACACCTTGACAGGATTGACAATCCTTGGCCCAGATATTTACAGCAGATTGCATGGTGAATACCTTCAGTCTTCAGATCAAACTGGAAAAAGGATACCCTCCATAACATCAGGAGCCTCAGCTAAAAATCCTCTTGAAACAGCTTATGAGATCCCTACTACAAGCTATCTAAGCCATGGCTATCAGAGGAATGCTCCACCTCTGCTGTTCCTAAGTACCTATCTTCAGCTAATCCATTGCAGCAGTTGAAAAACATGTCAATTGGGTCTAGAAACATTAGACAGTTAACAAAATGACATATTGTAGATATCTGTCCGATATCATCAGCGTGCTATTGATAGCTGTACTAAGCAACAGCAAGTTGGCTGTTCTTTACCTGCAACATTCCCTTGAAGGATTTCCTGAACATTTTTCATGAACAATGGTTACAGCTAATCTTAAAAGCACCAGAGCACGTAAATTATCACATATTCCGGGATAACATCTCTCACCTCATCTTTGGCAAAAATTTTGAGTTTGGGGAAAAAAAAAATTGCTGGCCATGCATCTTAACAACACTCGCTTATTATTGCATTTAGGCCTGTTTGCATTCGAACCCAGCTAAGTGACTACTGCGTGTTTTGTCATTATGAGCACTCCAAGACCGTGTGTGTCGCAGCTCAAATTTGCATATCCTGACACAAACCAATGCAGTAATTCTCCTTAAAGGTGAGCATAGCAGACTGAAGGTATCAGATACAAATTATTTCGTGTGAATGATACTTCAGAACTGGTAACTTCTAGTTAGAACCAAGTGGGAAAGACAGCGGCAAAGAAAGTACGGAATCTATGCAAAACCTTTGATCAGATTCAGGAATTAACCTCACACTGACGATGCCTTTCCTCACTGTCATTTAAGTAAACTAAATGCAGCTTTTTGCGCAAAAAAATGTAGTGGGTTGACAACATTGAATATGCAAGGAGATAATTAGAGCGTCAGACCTACTGGCTAATGGTCTCCAGCAGCTCAAGATGATTAAGATGCAGATAAAAAGCTGAAATTAGAACGCTTAGGAAGTTGTTTCTGGGTAAGTAGACACCAAGAAACTCGTAAAGGGAGATCCTTCATCCGAAGCACATGCACCATTATCAATTCAAAAGGCCTGCCTGCTTAACCTCATTAATCAATATGAACAGAGGAATGCATGGTCTAAAATTTAAAGCTAGTAGAACCGGAAATAATCACCAAAAGATCAAAATAACAAGAAACACATACTAAAATATTAAAACTTGATAAAAAAAAAAAATGTGAAGCTGGAATTTGTCCGTTGCTCCCAGAATTTTCAGTTTTGTAAAGTCATCAATTTAACTGCATGACAAAGGAACATATCATTATCTCTTGATCGTTGATCCCCAACATGTTGGTCACTACTTTACAAGACTAAAGTTAGAAAACAAAAAGGAATGTCACATGAGCATTTGGCACTAGCACCTTCCTGCATTTCCACTGATTTCATTTGCATTTGCACATTGCACCTAACTCAACACAATTACAAAACTGTCCCAAAGAAAAAAGAAGAGAAAAGAAAAGAAAAGTGTAGGAAAAAAAAGCCACCACTTTTTCACCCTGCCAACCTTCATCATCTATTTAATCCTTAATTCCTTATCTTTCTAAGAGAACCTAATTAAAGTAATATCAACGGTACGAATCATAACATTGATCACTTATATAATCGGACGGCTCAGAAAGCAGCGCCGGAGCAAGAAGGGCACCTGATCAGACCGTTCTCATTGCAAGTTGTACAGCTCTTGAACCCACCTTTTTCACTATAACATTTGTGGCTTCCGCTGCACTGGTGGCAGAGGATAAATCTATGCCCACCACACACCTCGCACGTGCCGGGGTCGGCGGGGAGGCCCAGGCCCTCCACGTATTTCTTCAGCTCCCCCGTTTCATTGAGCCGCCGGATCTCCTCAGCGCCACCAAAGTACCTCCCCCCGATAAAAACTCGAGGGAGAGTCAGTTTCGTCTTTTCAGAATGGCCCAGAATCCTCTGCAGCTCCTCCATGAACCCGTGGTCCATCGACAGATCTCGCTCGTCGATTACGACCCCCAAGCCGCGTAAGATGGATCGGACGTTTTTGCAATCCTCAAACGTGGAGCGGACCACTCGCAGGCTCGTGAAGTACACCACTACGCGCTTTTCAGCTCCTGGCAAAGAAATCGACGGCTCTGATTCGTTTGGATTCTCAAATGAGAGTGATTTTGAGGAGGACAATGGGTGGTGGTGGGCGGCGGAGACATTTGATTCGGGAAAAGGGTCGAGGGCGGAGGGGGAGGAAGCGAAGGCGCGGAGGACCGAGTTGGCTAGTCGGACTCGGTGGAAAACAGATTTCTTGGGCCGATTGGTTGGGTCGGACTCGGAATTATAATCTTCGGCACAGAGACTCTGGATGTCTTTGAACGAAGAGCAGGAAAAGTTGGGGTGCTGAATCCGAATATTTGACTTGGTTCGTCTTAGCCACATGGGGTTCTTCTGAAAAAACTGATGAAATCTATGTACGGATATTGTCTTTCAAAAATTCCTCGTAATGAGCGTATAATACCTGAAAATTTTTTCTGAGGTTCTTGGAGAAATGAAGAGGAAAAAAGGATGCGGTGGATGGAGGCTAGAGAGGCTGTTGTGTTGGGGAGGTTGCGATTTGCGAAGCGGAAAGGGTATGCCGCAAGGGAAGTGGCGAGTCAGCTATGTCGTCCACCGGTTTTTTGATGTAGTTTACGCGCAGCTTCTTCTCTTGTCAACTTGTGTTGTTGTTGTTGAGGAGGGGAGACTAAATGGGATTTTCCGGAAAATAAGAAAGGCAGCAGCTACCAAGGGGAAAGACAGGATAGGGTGGTTACCGGTTAGAGCCTAGGTGGTTGTAAAGGAAGGTGGTCAAAATTTCCTAATTTTAATTTCCAATAGCAGTAAATTAATAATGGAAGCTTAAGCACAGAGGGATGAGCTGGTGAGAGGTCTTAATATTAGAAGATGGGATAAATTTTTTTTTTTGGGGGGGGAAGGTGGTGTTGGTGTTCGAGGTGGGGATTGGTAAACCTGGCAATTAGGCTATGTGAACTGGGTTTTGACACGCTCGAACTTAGCCCCCATGAATTATCCGTTGATGTATTTGAATAGCAATAATTTGATTAAAAATTATTTACGTGCATTAGAAATGGCAAAGGGAATCAGAATTTGCTCCCAGGGAAAGAAATGGGGTGGAGGTTGGAGCGAGGGAAACATACTCCAGCCTGTCCCCCGCTATATATATATATATACACACACGCGCGCACATGTATATTTTGCGTGGTTGGTCATTGTAGTTTGCTTTCTAAGCCAAATTTGATTTTGTAATCATCTTCTTGGGTGCTACTGCTTGTGGATATTAATTGATTGTCAAGTCCAGTGATATTCTCCACTTTCCAAGAAAAATAAATAAATATATTAATCTTTGCTCTTGTCTACAATATTACCCTTGGTACATAATACTTTTGGATATGCTAAAAGGTTGCCATTGGATCAAGATTTTGTGCCCGCAGGGGAGCGGGGCGGGGTGAGACGTTGGGTGGGGAAAGATATTTGGCAACGAGGCGAAGGACGGACCACGGGGTGTGCCTGTTGTCATTTTTAACTTGTATTACAAACACGTTTTTAATACATTTTTAAAATTTTTTATATTATACTTTTATCTCACATACATTACATTACAAAAATTGTTACAAAAATTATTTTAAATAATCTCTCATCTTTTTTTGTAATTTTAAAATCAGCTCAATTAATTTATATTGCTGTAGTTCATGCTTGACTCACAGAAGAAGTCGAGCCAAATTCGAGCGGGCCCAAACTCATGTTAGGTATTTTTTAAGTTAACACAATCTAGTTAAACGAAACAACCAACTAATCCATAAACGTTCTATAACATCTAAATAAAGTTGCAATATCAATGAAAATTTGAATTTCATGACCAAATTTAATATAATTTACTATAACATCCATAAACTTAGTAACTAGAGATTAAAAAGAATAAATTATCATAAAATTAACCATCTAGAATTCAATCATTTAACAAGATTTTGTTAAAAAAAATCTTCTTAATTCCTACATTAACCTGTAAAATTCTAGAAAATGAAGGATGATGTTTTCTTCTTGTTTAGATTGGAGATTATTAAGTAACTAGGATTGAGTAAATAGTGAAGAAAGTGTGGAGAAAGATAGAATAATGGATCTTTGATACCGCATAGACAACATTGTTGCAAAGGGAGAAAGGACAAGCTATATGTTAAATGGTTTATCTAACGGGTGTCTATAGGGTACTCGTTAAAATACATTTCAGATGTTATATTTTTTAAAATTTAAGATTAATTAGAAAAAAGTAAATAAATATAATGGAGGGTAAGTAAGATTAAATAGAAAAAAATATATAAATGTAAGAGAAAATAATAATTGTTAGCATGCGTATTTATATGATAAGTTATGTGAATATTAGATGCGTTAACGAATGTGCAAAGGATACCTGCCAGAAAAATCCAATGTTAAAAAGCCATTATTCGATAGAGAGTTAAGTGGATTTAGTGTAACCCAAGCTTTAACTCACGTCCAAATCAGCTCAACTCACCCAGCACAAAGGCACATTCCAATAAATTACGGCAGAATGAGCTGAGCTTGGGCCAGCGCAGCCCAACTGGGGATGTGATTTTCTTTCTCACCCTTTTGTTTTTAATGTGGACCAAGGAGATTTTGACCTCTCATCCTCGAAATTTTGCCCTTTATTTAATAACTAAAATACAACTTCTATGATAACTTCAAAGGGTAATTTTGCCCTCTCTAATTCACACGACGTAGAGTAGAAAGCGCAGCACCTTCCAACTTCGTAGGTCGCAGCTGACTGAACTTAAATGGGTTCTAGGAGCCTTGAGTACGAGGCGATTAGGGCTATGTTCCATTATAGTTCTGAGTTTTACGGTGGCATGCAAGAATTAGTAATTACACGAAACTGCTCTCACCTGTTAGTATCCGTTTGCAAAAAAAAAAAAAAAGAATTATTATACGGATGATTTGAACGCTAGTGTCTGTTATGATTAGACTGGAAACTGGAAAGGACGACGAAAATGGTCCACGAACTGCCTTATCTAGTTATCTTTATTTTTTTTGGGGTCCAAATTAACGCAAGAAATGTCGCACGTTGTTTGGTTTGATGCGACAATATCAAATATACTTAGACTGTTCATGTTAATACAGCTGCCCATTATCATAAAGTTTTTGGAAGAAATTCACACCCAGAGGACTTTTAGTTGCTTGTATATGAACTGAAAGTCAACATATGTTTCTGAATTCTGTACAATTGCCGTGGCCCAGAACTCACATGATTTCAAGTTGCAACAGGCTGTCTTCTAATCTAACTAGTAATAGCAGATAACAAAAACGATAATTCACAATAGTGGTGGTGGCAGTATATATATACCTTTGTTCCCAACTAACTATTTTGATGTCATGCCATGGGAATAATGCTAAGAGTCCTCCGCTTGATTGATTAATTTTGGTGCTGCACTGCACTGGAAGCTGGCCAGTCCCTTTTGTGATTCATTTTTCTAAAGTGGGTGTGGACCGGATAAAAATTACTGCAAAAAGAGACATGGCAGGAGTGTTACTATAGGGGATGAAGTACTGCGCAAGTCTTTTGCTGAAAGCTAAAGGTTAAATAATTCATGTAACCAAGGTTGGTGGTCTCTGAAAAGCTTCATGTGTGCCTGTCCAGGCTAAATAATAGACAAAAAAGGAAGTGGAAGCCTCTACTGAATTTCACAGCACAGCTTCACCAAGAAATCGAATATTAAAGTAATCATAATTTA